AAAGAAACCATATAGGAACCCGTCGTGGTATACCCGTGTTATAGTGGGCCAAAATTTCTTTTCTAAAGAGAGTCCTATATCCAGCAGTGAAATATTAGAGGCTGTTGATAATATTACTCTTTTGTTTCTATAGTACAAGCTCAGGTTATAGTGTAATGATATATATATATATATATATATATAATCTTTAAATGTTTCTCATTAAACTGTGATTATAATCATAATACAGTTTGTTACAGAAAAGTGTGATTTAATTTTAGTAGTGATGTAGTTTTTTCTCTGGCAAATGCCTTTTCTAGTGTAGACAATAATGATAAACTGACACATCTCAAACTCTGATCCTAAACTAGGCAGAGCCTGTACCTACTACTGCTATGGTAAACTGCTTATAAACAAACTTATAAATGTATATCCAAATACTTACATATGATAGATAAATTAAAACCGGCCAGAGATCAAATCACCAACCACTAAGTAAACCAACAGGTCCATTTCTTTTTTCGAACTCAAACATCTTTATTTCATAAATTATTTAAAACTATTTGAAATCGTCTCTTGTTTAGACTCTAAAGCATCAACACACATAATACCAACAATCTCTGTTTTGTTTTGATTGAACATTATTTTGATGTGTTTCAGTATGTAAGTTTAAAGTAAATGAAGAGAAAACAAGAAATAGAAAAAAGATGGAATAAAAAAGAAAGTAAAGTAAAGCATAAAAAAATGGAAAATAAAATAAAATACACTAGGCCACATCACAATTCCACTACGAAATAGCCTGAGCTAAATTAATCCCAAGCATTATTGTCTTCTACGTAATCCACAATTGAGTAATAGGCTTTCTGACATAGTTTACGTTTTATTGTTGATTTAAATTTGTTTATACTAAAATCTTGTAAACTATTTTTGATTTTATTATAGAATCGAACACATTGACCTCGAAATGACTTGTTTATCTTTTGAGCCTAGAGGCAAACACAGCAAGTTTATTTCTATTTCTGGTATTAAAAGCATGTACATCACTTCTTTTTAGAAGCTATCTTTGTTTTTATGAACATATATTACATTTTCATATAAATATTGACTTGCCACTTTCATTATGTTCATTTCTTTAAAATTTTGCCTCAATGAACAACGATTGCTTACATTATAAATTTTTGAAGCACAAAAATAGTTTGAATGTCGGCAGCATTCGCCACAGTAGAATACCGTACGACATTATGCTATGAAAATAACTGGAGTAAACAAGCATACTTTTTTTATTTTTTATTTATTTATTTATTTCTCTTCACAATTAGTTAAGTTACAATATCTTTTAAATAGAACAAGTATACATTACAGTACCCGAAACCAACGTGAGAGACTGGTGCCTGATGTAGATTTATTGAAATCTGTATTACAGGTCACCAGGGCCCCCCCGCTTCAGTATCCATACTACAATGTGTATAAGTATTAAACAACCAGTGAGAATATAAAGGCAATATCAGCTAAGGCTAAAATACAAAAATCTCGTAAAAATAAAATGTAAAGTTATGTATGAGGTGAAGTGTTAATAGAATAATGTGTATCTGCAAGTGAGTTTATATGCCTGTGTAAATATGTGTGGGAGCATGTGTATGTATGAGTGATTACTGATTACTTCCGATTACTCATCTACATCCCAACCACCTGTCCAACCAAGTCAAATACTAAATACTAGATCAGAGGTTTTAAAAGTTCCTCCGTATTCTGATAGTCTAAGGTTTTTAGGTAATTAGAAACTATTTCTTTACATCTCAATGTTGATTTTGGATATATTTGTAAAGCGCTGTTCAGTTTATTATAAAGGTACGGTCCGAGAAAGCAGAAGAAGTTATGAGAGAGTGCCGTGTTTAATTTCCTATTCGTACAAACCTTACCCTTCCTACGCTTGTCCTTGAGAATATTAGGGTTGTAAGGCGTCTGTTTATGTTGCCTAAGTATAATATTGAGTATAAATGACTGTCTCACGGTTAATACATCCCAATCTTTATAGAGTTGAGCTGTCGGGAATCGAAATGGCAGCCCTGCGCCTACCTTCAAAATACCACGCTGTGCCCTTTCAACTTCCAAAAGATGAGTTTTGGCAGCACCACCCCACGTGGTAATACAATAGCTAATCAGTGAATTACAAAGCGCGTAGTAAACTGTTTTGGTAATATTACGATCAGCTGTGAATCTTAAGCTCTTAAAGACATACATAATCTTTCGCAGCCTTGAAACTAGGGTGCTAATATATGGTTTAAAGGTTAGTGTTTGGTCAATGATAATACCCAGATATTTAATCACCTCAGTCCTATGAAGACTGGGACATGAGCAATGATTAAAGGTCGTGCAATCATGGGCTTTAATGTCAAATGATTGTGGTAAGAGATTTGTCTTATGAGCATATGTTACATATTTGGTCTTTGATATATTAAGTGTCAATACGTTATGTTGCAACCATTGTTTCACTATGTTGAAGCCATACTGAGCGTTGTTAAAAACCTCTTCCCAACTATCGCCACCGAAGAACAAGGCAGTATCATCAGCGAACGTAATTATTTTGCCTTTGTTGAATTTTAACTGGCACAGTTCGTTAATATACACCAGAAACAAGGTAGGGCCAAGTATACTGCCCTGCGGCACGCCAAATTCAACGTAGATTTCGTCACTCAACCAACCTCCTATTTTAACCCTTTGGCATCTTTCGGTTAAATAACTCGCCATTAATTTCAGAGGCACTCCCCTCACACCAACCCTCTCAAGTTTCACCAATAGGTGGGGAACAGAGACTGTGTCAAATGCCTTGGCTAAATCCAAAAATATTGTTAAGCATTTTTTCTTATCATCTAGATGTTGGATGACAGAGGACATTAGTTCGTGAACTGCATCACTTGTTGATTTACCACGTCGGAATCCAAACTGAGACGACGATAGGAGTTTGTTGTTCTCAAGATATTTTATTAGTCGGTTGTTTATCACTCGTTCAAGGATTTTAGACAGCGTTGGTAGAATTGAAATAGGGCGGAAGTTATTGACACAGTGTCTGTCCCCGGTTTTGTATATTGGTTTAATGATAGCTGTTTTAAAAACTGACGGAAAGATCCCTGTGGTCAGCGCTAAATTACAGATATGGGTGAGGGGAGATGTGAGAACATTGGCATACCTCTTCAGCATCCTCCCACTAATCTGGTCAAGGCCAACAGCACATTTGTCTTTTAGTTGCAGAATCAGAGAGTTAATTTCAGATTCATCGGTAGGGAACAAGACAAATGAATTGGCGAAGGCAGCATGGGAATGCCGAGTAGATGTGCTCGGTGTCGCGGGTGTTGTTCGCAAAGCGAGCTTTCTACCAACATCAGCAAAAAAACTGTTGACAGTATTGACACTATGGTTCGGATTGTCTTTCTTGATGAGATTTATAGAATGATCTGTGATGACATTAGTGTTGCTGATTCTCTTAATAACGTTCCATAGTTGCCCTTTATCCTTTCCCGCCGTTTCGATATCCCTTCTGTCGTAATACATTTTGGCCTTTTTTATAACATTGTTACAGTAGTTCCGGTATCGCCTGTATGTGAGTTTAATAATTTCGTTATCTGGGCTCCTTTTATGTTTCTTGTATAAATTGTCCCTATTTTTTAAGCAACGCAACAACCCGTTCGTGATCCACGGTTTCCTTACCCTTTTTCTATTCGGAATTTTAATCAGGTTGGTCGTTTTGCTTACGGCAGTTGAAAGATATGTTACCAATAGATTCGTTGCTAGGTTGACGTCATTGGATTCTAGGATTGGTTGCGGATCAAAATCTGAGATTTCATCATCGAGTAGAGCGTAGTTTATTGAATATGTTACATTAGTACTCGTACTATAATTTGAACCAGACCTTTGATCAAAACTCAGGGCTACACTTTCGTGATCCGTAATTGAAGACTCGATTATGATACAAGTAGCATCGGCTTTCGTCTTTATAATTATATGATCAAGACATGCACGTCCGCGAGTTGGAGATGTATGGCCAGGAAGCATGCAATGACTGGCGAGGACGTTCAAGTACTCATATTGGCGATTATCAGTGCTCTTGGGGGAAATATCAATATTAATGTCGCCGCAAAGGTATATATTTTTGTAACTAGACAACTGTGATAGTAGAACATCTAAGGAATTGATGAAGTTTGAAGTATTGTACTGATTTGGTGGCCGATATAGGCCTATAATACAAGTTTCTGAATTCAGATTCAAGAGGAGACAATTGGCGTCGCTCAGTTGTGGTTCTTCATAAGTGATTTCAAGATACTTATTATAATAGATAACAACTCCCTCGTTCTGTGTTTTGTGGTTTGAGGTTTTGATATAGTTGTAGTTTACGAGATTAGGAATAGGTTTAGACGAAGAAAGCCAGCACTCCGAAAGAACTAATATATCCCACGACAACTTCGATCTCTGCAGTAGCGTTGAGAAATTAGACATATTACAGGTAATACTACGGATATTTTGTGATAAAAGATTGATCGAGCCTTTATTCTTAAGTACATGATTCTTTACATCTTCAATGTCACAAATTATAGTTTCAGCCACTCGTAAAGCATCCAGATCCGTGCCCAAGGATTCAATGTTCTGCATTGTTTTTTTCATTTTAATAAAAATGTAGCTAACACTGTCATGTATGCTACATAACTCTTTAATATTTCGAACATTAAAATAAAACTTAGATCTGGAGCCAATGAGGGTAGCATTTTGATGGACATGTAATTACAGAAGGATGTAAAGTGTAATCGTATGAGGTCGTATTTGCCAGTAAGAGACAAGTGAAGTTTGCAGAATAAGGTAATCCGGTAGTAATCTTTGAGTGTATGAGCAGAGTGTGTAAGTGTGTATGAGCGTTTGAAAGTAATTTTATGGGAGAAAAAAGAAATATGACTAAATATAACATGCAAAACAAAAAATATAAAACACATCGTAGCTAACAAAACAATGACGGATTTCAGAATTTTAGATAGTCACAATAAAACTCTTCCCAACTCAACCTCACTTTTGATACGTATCGGCAAGGAATCCTCTGATTTCTTGACATAGATGTTTCCAAATGATGTCCAAGTCGCAGCAAGCTTATTTTCTTTAACATTTGTACGCGCCAAATAGAATAGTTTTCTTGACTGTTTTGACAGGTATTCAGATATAAATAGCTGTTTATTGTGGCCAAGTAAATCAAGATGTCCTGTGTTTAGTTGGGGTTCCTTGCTTTCACGTCTCGCCTTATTAAATGTTCTAAATTTCGAAATGAACGATTCCTTTCGCTCCGTGGTAGTAAAGTCAACTAAAATAGTCTCAGACTTTAAACGAAATACGTCTCTTATTTCTGATTCCTGTATATTTGTTGTCAAACCTACAGCTGCGCCGATTTCCTGAATTCTATTTGCCAGGGTCCTTTTAGTTTCGTTAGTCTGCTTCGGCAGGTTACGTACTTCAATCGTCGTGCAGCGCAGTTGTTTTTCGAAGAAGTTAACATGACTTTCCAAATTACTCACTTGCTCCTTTAATTCCCTGTTTTCTTTTTCTACGTTACTAATTTTCGATAGCAACTCTTGATGTTGAGAAGAAATGCTTTCCACAGACTTCTGTAATTCAGAATTTTGATTGATAATCATATTTAAAGCGCTATTTAATGACACGAACTTATGTTCTTGCTGAGATTTGAGTTCGATAATCATCGCTTGTATATCCGAGAAATGGCATGTTGAATCATTGTTTACATCCTCAAAGGTACGCTTCTGACGTTTTGTTATGTTGAAGTAGTTGTCCTCTAATTCCGGTTTGTTTGATATATTCAATGCTGAATCCGAGTTGTAATGTAACGTAGAATTAGTAGGTGCATTCAATTTTGGTACAGATGTAGTATGAGGAGGAGTTCGTTGTAAAGACATCGTGATATAGAATACTTTATAGAAACACAAAAAGGGAATGAGATGTGAGTCGTTGACTCGAACCGGCGGCTTTTGCACAGTAGGCAGCGCACCCGCAACTGTGGCCAAGTGAGTGTTACATATAATGTTGAAATTAAAGTTCACTATGAGGTCTTTTGTGCGAATGGATGTTGGACCTTGACGTTATGTATAATAACACAAAGTCGGGTAGTTTCGTTATCACGCAACCAAATAATTCCTGCTTAGCAATAATTGTTCGATATTACAACACTGTAACACTGTTCACAGTCACTGTACTTCACTTAGTTTGCTTTCGTATTGGGACACCAACCAAGACGCTCGCTTAGAGCGAAAAATTAAGCTGAGAATATGAATAATAGCACTTAAAACATATTTCTAAATACGAGCGCACTAAAAACACGTCAGTTCGGTACAGTTGTCAAGACGGGGGGGGAAATACTGCATCAATATCAGTCAATTCTCGAATTTTTCTAACTGCGTACGCTGCTGAGCTGAGTCTACTCGATAATTTATTAACCGACTTCAAAAAAGGAGGAGGTTCTCAATTCGACTGTATTTTTTTTTTTTTTTTTTTTGTATATTTGTTACGCGATTACTCCGGCAATTATAAACCGATTTGAATAATTCTTTTTTTGTTTGGTAGGTCATACGTCAGAGGTGGTCCCATTGTCACCAGGTCAGGATCTGATGATGGGATCCTGGGGAAATCGAGGGAAACCCTCAAATTTTGTAGGCATATACACTGTTTATCAGAAATTATCTTAATCTATGTAGATTTTTGCATCTAATGGTCACCATCTGATGTTGCTGAGCTGATGATGAAGCTGTTGATGAATGGTTTAGGAGTATGGGATCTCTGTAACAAAATTATGTAATACCATCGAATTTGAATGTGTTTGAGTCTAATTAATAAGAACTCCGATCCTATGTGATATTCAGGGTCTGATGATGGAGACGGTAAATAGCCATGGGAACTCTGTAATAAAATAAAGCAATTCCGCCGTGTTTGTGCTCATTTGATTCGTCTCGACTAGGAGCTTCATGCTAGTCGATTTTTAACCAACATCAAAAAAGGAGGTTTTTGATTCGACAGTATGTTTTCTTTTTAACCGACTTCCAAAACACAAAAGAGGAGGTTCTCAATTCGTCTGTATTTTTTTTTATGTATGTTTGTTACGCGATTTCTTCGTCAATTGTGGACCGATTTTCAAAATTCTTTTTGTAATCGAAAGGGTATGCTCCCGAATTGGTCCCATTACCACCAATTCAGGATCTGATAATGGGATCCTAGAGAAATCGAGTGAAACCCTCACAATTATTGGGAATTTGACAGCCCCGACAACGTGTTTTAGCTACGAGTATTTCTTTAGCCAAACAAATCATGGCAACTGTCAGAGACTGCGCGATGTGATGCGCAGAGAACTTGCAGTATTTATGTCACCACAGTAATTTTCGTTGTATTAAGAAGAAAAGGTTGAAATTTTGTATTCTATCTTGTTAAAATAATTCGGATAGACGTTTTGTTGCTATGGATGGCATCGTATTTCGTTTGTAAGTAATTTTATACTTAATTTATTAAAATAGTTCTGGAAAAAACTCTTAAATTTTGGGTGGGTCAACTAGGTTAATTTCTAACATACTAGTATTAACCCTTCTAGTTGGAACTCCTTCTATAAAATATTGAGCATATTTGTTGAGTAGTCTCACTAAAGCTTCCCTATCTTCACCTTCGAGATCAGTGTCAATTGAATCGGAAGTTATTTTGTTCGGTTGCAACTCACAAGAATTTGACTGTTTCTTAGAAAAGAATTTAAGCTGATCTTGATCAGTTTGGACGCCAATGTCATTTTCATATCCTACACTAAAAATGGTAAAATAAACCCTTTTTAAAAAAAAAGTTGAACCGACTTCAAAAAACACCGACAAAGAGCACTAAAAATTAAAAAATAATTACAAATCTAAGTAAAAAACTATAATAAGTACCCTCAATGTAACAGGTAACATTATAATACCAATAGTCCCTTCTAGTCTGTTTGAAGTCGGTGCCAAGCTCGATGTACAATAAGTAATACTGGTCTATGTCAGCTTTATATTAGCACAATGAAAAATTAAGAATTCAAAATAATTCTAATGAAACATCGAAGATTTTGTTAATTAATAAAGACCAACCAGATCAATTACGTGCGCAAACTTATCAACTACTTATTAAAGAATTCAAAATAATAATATAATTGGAGATGTGCGTCCACTTTAGCTCGTTCATCATGTTTTGCGCAGCATGAAGACTGTTGCAGCTGCCGCGCTACATTCTACCATGCCTATCAAGCACCTATTTGGCTTGGCACCGACTTCAAACTGACTAGAAGGGACTATTGGTATTTTAATGTTACCTGTTACATTGAGGGTACTTATTATAGTTTTTTACTTAGATTTGTAATTATTTTTTAATTTTTAGTGCTCTTTGTCGGTGTTTTTTGAAGTCGGTTCAACTTTTTTTTTAAAAAGGGTTTATCTATATGTGGTCCTCACTGTAGCTTAGAATCTAATGTTATTCCTAAAAATGTCGTTGTATCCACAAGTTTCAGCTCGACATCCTTAATCATCACAGTAGTGTTCACTGGCTTGGCAGCCTCCTTAGATCCGATACGTTAGCTTTTTCGACACAATTTTCAAGGTTAATTTGTCCCTTTTAAAATTAGATTTCGGTATTTAGAAGACAAAAATGTCCTAGAATTGTAGTAAGTGCTTTATTTACCCTCCCTTTATTTATCAACCCTTCTTGAACATTCTGTACAGGTATTTTAAGGCTACGAAGGGAAAAAGAAAATTAATCATGTTTATTTCTGTTACAGGTAAACTATTCAAAGCCTTTTTACCACAAGTTCATGGCAGTGGATTAGGAGGTAATCAATTTACATTCAACATTTTTTATTTACCTCTCAGCTTTTACCAGTAATAGTATATATTTTTGTCCTTTTCTTTCTCAATACACGAATTCGGAGCAATTCACTGTAAATTGAAACCGAATAACTCGGCCACTCGGCCGTGTCGAGTACTCACTCGGCACGTTAAAAACTAAACCGAATAAAATTCTGTATGTTATCACTCGACGTAGCTTGATCACGACACGGTTGTTTATTAGATTAAAGAGTTCTAAAAAACATCAGTGCTCATTTCAAAGAGAGAGAGAGAGAGAGAGAGAGAGATCTCCTAACTAATATTATAAACGCAAATATAAGTTTGTTCGTTTATTTATTCTATCAAGCTTTAACTTTTCCATCGGTCATCGTTAAATTACACGCTTTTTATTACTCGTAGCTTCACCTGTATGTTTGTTTGTAACCGACTCCTTTGGGCGTAATTTTGACTTACTTTAAACGGTCAGAATTCGTTCAAACTTTGTAGATATATCGAGGACCGATGAATAGTTTTAATAAATTTGAAAAAAAAAGCGTTGGGTGCCTGTTGTCAATAGTTAAAAGTTTGATTTTCAATAAAAAGCGTGTTTTTTAGTTTTTGAAAGTATTATTATTTTGAAATAAGACGTCAGGTACGAGTATTAAAGGATAAAAAAAGTATTGTTCAGAAGGGATTAGTTTAGTTAGGTTTATGTACGTTTATTCTTAATAACAGTAGGGCCCACAAGAAAACAGTGCTGTACTATAATTTACTAAAAATATTGTTATAAATATTAGATGATTTTTAAAGTAAGTAGGCGTGAGTCTGGCTGCAGACATTTTTATCACAATATTCTCTATCAATTTAAACAATGAATAAAAACCAACTCTTACGATACTCACTTAATTATAAAATAGACAGATTTCTTTATACTTCAGTCAGAAACCATAAAAAATACAGACACTTTAAATTTTAAGGAAACAAATCTCTAAGATTCAATCAATTTCTTTCTTTTATTTCAATAAGTCACTCCTTATCTGGGTTCCCTCTTATACCTCCATCCCCGTAATCACATAATCCTCATCCCCATTGACAGGTTTACCGGTAGATTATATTTGGAGAAAGTTAGAAGATTCCCGGGGATCATCTCCAGCGGAATTGTTTTCCAACTCGCATGTTAATTTTAATTAAAGACTTATTTAAATTCACTTAGAGGGTCTCTTTGGGAATTGGTTATGACATCGTGTGTTATGATAGGGTGGAGTCGAGTGTGCTTTAAAGGAGATTGGCGAAGTTGGGCCTAACCGTTACAGGAATCGGTCTATATTCAAAGTAAATAACGTTATCTTTAATAAGTACTCCAAATAATAATAGTAACGGGGAAATATTTTATTTACAAAAATATTGACATATTGATTATGGGAATCGAACTAACTTAGAAGTCACTTAGCAGTCAGAATCACTAACTGAAAAAACTGATCAGTCGAAAGCCACGTATATTGTTCACATAGCTGCAGTAACAAGGGGTTCACGCAATATCTAAAACTAGACTAGCTAGACCAACAGATGGAATTTCATTACGTACTCTACAATTCCCTTTGAAGAATACCAAGTGCTTGACTGTTTACAGAACGTATCATATTTGAGTGTGGCGTGAGTTTCAAGATGTATTTCGTTACGTATGTGGCAATTTGATATTCAGATTTAAGATGTAATCTCTGATATGTATGGACATTCGCTGCTAAGGTTAACTTATGATACCTTCACACAACTATCCAGTGACTTATGATAGATATGGTAGGTTACTTATGATACATTTCACACAACTATCCAGTAAATATTTTCGACGTTAAACCAGATTCAGCGAGCTCCTAGCTCATCGCCTAAAATTATTATATTTTTTTAAATATATATTCATAAATGAATATATATGTGTATGTATGTACGTATATATATATGTATGTAAGTATGTGTATATGTGTGGTATTCACATTTTTTTTTTATGTTAGAAGGGGCAGATGAGCAGACGGGTCACCTGATGGAAAGCGACCATCGCCGCTCATGAACATCTACAACTCAGG